CGAACTCATTAGCAGGGGCGAAATTACCATACATGTAGACTCGGAAATGCAGGAGGTTGCAGGACCTTTATAGGGTCCGAATTGCCCCAAACAACAATATGATTTTTTGGCACCTGGATAAACTAGTGGTTTTGTAGGAAAAAAAACGGTGATTGTTCTACAGTGACCGCCACTCGCCGTTGCAAACCCAAATAAACCACATGAGCTCTAATGTGAAAAATAGGAAACCTCAAAAAAAATTTCATGACTTATTGCTTCTTTTTAAATTGTCTAAAACGAGTGCCCCAAAAGCTCATTTTAGTAGTTTTGGTACTAAGCAGATGAAAAAGCGATTTCTTCTCTTAATTATTATTTCAATAAGGCATACTAAAGAATGACACAGCTATAAAAGGAACGCGGGTCGGCTCGTGAATTTCTAAATGAGATACTGACATTGTTGAAACACGATTATAGCTAGTCCGAATTTGAGACCACAATGTAGGCACAACACCTTATAACTGTTTAAAACGAACGTAGACGATATACAGCTCCCTGGATAGCCCTGGGCGCCAAATAGTTCCCTAACGGGCGGCCCATACGATTTTTTTTTTTATTTCGCAGAAAACTCAATCGGATGAAAGGTGTACTTATGCATAAAAGACACACACACACACACAAACAAACACACTCACACATACATTGCTTTTTATATTATACGAGCCGACCCGCGGCATATCGTACGCCGCTATTTAGTTGTTTTATTTTCTACTTTTCAGTGATTCATAATTTGTGAATTCGACAATACCAATAGCCGTCACTAAACCCGGTTCTACAATTGTAAACATTTAGCGTGAACCACAGCTCAGCAGATCATGTAGGGGTGGGGTGGTAGGGAGCGCGCTTACAGCTTGTTTTCTAGCGTCTCCAAGAAAAAAATTATATAATATATATGCGTTGTTTTTTTTTTTTTTTTGAGAAATTGGAAATAGAGTAAAGTACCAGAGGCGTAGCGACCCTTCCCGGCGTCCGGGGACAAACTTTTCGATTTGCACCCCCCTCAACCTTTCAATTTATTTTTCCAACCCATTTTGGCGCCCCCAAACATATGTTCCCCCCCCCCTCGCCCCCGCCCCCCCCCCCCTCGATACGCTACTGTAAAGTACTACTTACGATCAACGGAAATTACTCAAAATTTGACAGAAGGCAGAGAATTAGATATTTTATATGTAATACAAGTCTTTCTAATATAAAAAAAAAACTAAAATGTGTCTCTGTACGTGGCGGGCGGACAGCGGACCAGTGGAACACAAGCATATAGTAAAAAACTCGACTTCATCACCATAGTGTAATATTTAAGGGGGTAAGCTCCGGTAAAAAAAAACAACTTTTTAATACTCGTTACAAAACAGTTATTTCTTTACAGCTTCAATAAGATACATCCGCGTTTGCATTTCCACTAAAACAAGGTAATTAAAAAGTCTAGTGACAATTTTCGCGCAATTTCCTTATGTTATCTAAAAATAGCTCTGTCGTAGCGTAAATCAAGAGCAGGGTTAGTAAACCATTGGTTAAAATACATGTTTTATTTACAATAGAGTTACATGACTAAAAACCATTGCGCGCCTAGCTACTGAACGTGATGACGCAGCCATTGAACGTGATGGCGCAGCTATTGAACGTGATGACGCGTGTGGTGTGGTTGGAAAAAATGCCTACTAATTCGGTCCAAATTTTAATTAATTCAAAAAAATTTTTGTGACCAAACGAAAGGATATTTTTGAAAACTTTCTTCGGCAATATTGTTCTAAATTATGGCAGGAATCGATTGGTATATGTTTCAAGTCGCTAAGTGGTCTGATTGCCGAGATATGGGCCAAAAACTGCTTTTTTCGAGTTTTTTTGGCTTTTCTGGGAAATCCATGAAAGAAACCCGGAACTTTTATGGCCTATGTTCATCCTCGTAGCTTGCTTAACATAATTGTTTTTGGAACTAGTCATCGATATTGCTTCGTTGAGGAGGAGATACGACCTAAAGCTGCGGACACACATCCATCCATCCATTCATTCATACATTCATACATCCAGAAATGACGGGTTAATAAACGCAATTCTCCAGAATGGAAATTGCGCTAAAAAAATTGGTGAAAAAATTTTGATAACTACGACAACGGCGGCCATCTTGAAAAATTAACTCTTCGTAGGTTTTCTACCATTCATAAAATATTATATTTTAAGCCCAATAAAAAATGAATTCATAATCTTCTTCCATATTTTGGGGTAGGCCTACTCAGCTAAAAAATTTAAGTGCATATTTTCAAACTAATTTTCTATGAATTTTCAAATTGTGGGTCCATTAATAACACTAGTTTTAATGCCCCAAAATTCCCCAAAATTATTTGTTTCGAACGGACACAAATTTTGAAAATTCATAATAAATTATTTTCATAATATGCACAAATCTAAGGGGTTTTCCGACGGGAATAATGTTTTTTAGTTACCCGTAGTTTGGAGACCCCTGTCCTAATGTATAAATTCCCATGTGCGCAATATTTTTGAGGCTGTGATCAGTATGTTCAGCAATATATGGAGAACTTAAAGATACCGACTTTAGTTGAAAATAATATGTTTGATGTTTTAAATGTATAAACTAAATTTTATTTTTTTAAAAAAAGGAAAATAAAAAAAGGCGTATTTGAATGTAGAAAGATATTTTTTTAATTATGCAACTGGAAAAAGTGTTTATTGTTGTGACAAGAACGATAAAAACGTCACAGGTCACATGTTTAAACTACGGAAAGTGCACAAAACTAATTCGTCATCTTCCAATTTTAGAATATGAAGAAATGAACTATTTCATTCAAATTTGATTTAGATCTATAGATCTACTTTAAGATTTTTTGTATATATTGGATAGACTTGATCTATTTGATTTCTTAGATCTATTAATTTTTGGTCAATCGACGGTTCCATAGCGGTTTTCATATCACTTGGTATCCGTCAAACATAGTAATTAGTAAACAGTACGTTCAGTGTATAAAATAAATAAAAGGCAGCAGGGGCGTAGCGAGGAGGGGGGTGGGCGGGCTAGAGTTCGGACCGCACCGGGTGACACCATTTAGGGGGTGACACCAAGGCAAAAAATAGCAACATATATACAGAAAAGGGATAGTTCCACTTGATTAAGTGATTAATTTGAGTGTTAAATAGTCTTTTAAGAGCAAATTTGACAAATCCCGACTAGGGTGGAGGAGGGGGGGGGGACACCATGACGTAAACCTGCTAATGATTGTGAAAACATGCTACATCAAGCTGTATTATAAATACACAGACACACACACAGACATACGGACAAGATTGCAAAATTATGTTTTTCCGTATCAGTGAGGTGTAAAACGTTGAGATTTGTAAAAATCTCGGTTGTTTTTTTTTTTTTTTGCACGATTACAAGACTTTCTCTATACTTCGTATATACGAGAAAGTAAAAAACGCATACTTTGTTTTTAAAAAGAAGACAATCGTATTTAATAGCAAACAGCAGTATGCGTTCGGCTCTTCCGAAGAGCCTGGTACGTCGGACTCCCAAGTCCCCCACATAATAGCGTGGGGGGGGGGGAGAGGTGCAAGACTGCCGGGAACCAAAAGAGTCCGCCTCCAGATCTTTCTTTTGACTTTAAGCGGCGGCCTTAACGGGGCTTCGGATAATGCTACTGGTCCGACCAAACTCATGTCCCCCCTAGTGGGTGTGGAATGGCAAGTGGCAGATAACAGCAGCTAGAGGGTTTTGATCTGGCGGAATGCCCCCCACGATCAAGCTGGGTACCAGGCGGTAGGAAGACGTCCCGCGTCTGGTGGGTGGGGAAGGAAAGCCCGGTGAGAGCCCACGGAAGTAGCGACCGAGGTGTGGGAAACTCTCTCGGGGTTTGCCACACTGAGGCCTGCCTGGCTAATGGAAGTGAACCTTCTGAACCGGTTTCCGTATAAGGAAGGAAGCAAACAGCAATACATTTCCATACAAATAGAAATTGAGGGGAAATAACTCAAAATAACACTTTCTTAAGATGGTCGCTGCTTTTAATTGCAAATTTAGTATATGGAACATCGTTGTTAAACGTAAATTTCATGATATGTTTATTGATTGTATCCATAAACTGTGGTTTAATATTCAATCATTTTTAGTATTTTAATACAATTTGCAAAAATATATTCATATTTAAGCCACATTAGTTACCTTATCACTACATTATTACTAGCACCGGCCGAATTGATTATGATTACCGATGTATATTAGATTGTTAGCTGTTAACTTCTTTTTACTTTCTCGTATATACGTAGTATAGAGAAATTATTGTAATCGTGCAAAAAAAAAAATCGAGATTTTTACAAATCTCGACGTTTTACACATCATTGATACGGAAAAACATAATTTTGCAATCTTGTCCGTATGTCTGTGTGTCTGTGTGTGTGTGTGTCTGTGTGTGTGTAAACACGATTACTTGAGTACCGTTACAGCTAGGTTGATGAAATTTCATATATAAGTATTTTATCAAAATCGTAGATCCGTATCAACTTTTGAGCGATTTCCGATAACCGGAAGTGGTACTTTTCCTACTTTGAATTTTTCAAAAGCCTATAATTTGAGTACTATTTCATATAGATAAATGAAATTTCACATGTAAGTAAAAGATCTAATTCTCTACCTTCTGTTAAATTTTGAGTAATTTCCGTTGACCGGAAGTAGTAATTTACGCTACTTCCGATTTCTCAAAAAACAAATGTAAATTTTTAAAGTACTAATAATATTGCGCACTATTATGAACTTTTTTATTTGGCGTTCACTTAGTGTGCAATTAATTTGTATACGAGATTTTATTCTAACTTTAAAATTTTAAGTATTTAAAATGGATTAAAAATCATGTCTATAGCCCGAGTTCCCATCCCCTGTTATTTTATATAAGAATATTCGAGAAAGTTTAGGGGAGATCACTCCCGGTTTATTTTTTTCCTGTAACTTGGAACTTCCTGTTTAGGCCTAACAGCCTAGACTAGACACTCCGGAACTAAAGCATGGTGGAGACTGGTAAGATTTAGCCAGACATTTCCATAAATAATTACTGAAACATACTTTGAAAATGTATAGAATCTAGAATCTAGGCCTTATAATAACATAGCATTAGCCATTAACATTTGAAAATCTTGATCGGTAAAACCTTAGTTTGGTAATCTAGGGGACGATATTTCGAGTCGTCCCTTTGAATCCCGGACAGATCGTCCCCCCGGCGTGGCCTCAGCCAACCGGCGGGCTCGTTGCATTGAGTTAAATATAAACTCAAAACAATAATATAAACAATCTCCTTTTAGGTCGGTCAGGCCACATACCAGGCACGCACAGTGTTGTGTGTCGTGCCTTAACCAAAATAAACTATCTCCCTTCATTATCATTAGATATATTTTAGTCTGGCGCGTTGCTTAGATGGCTGGATTGACCTCTGACCCTGAAACGTCACGCGTCGTTTTTAGACGGTTTTTACGTTTATTTTAGGGGTCCCATCCACGACAAATGAAAAAACTGTTAATCTCGCAAATTCTCATCATTATTTTAATGCAGAATGCTAATAAAATGGATAATATGCCTTAGAATGCCAGAAAAAATCGAGAGATTTGTTGTTGTAAATAATGAGAGGATTTCTAGTGGAGCGCTCTCCGTAAAAACTGAACCGCCGCTAAAAACGACCGACCTCCGGGGAAAACGGCCCGACCTCCTCTAAATTAATATATAATTGAGATATTTACCTTGTATATTTACATTATTATTGATTCTGGTTTCCAAAATCTTATCCCAAAATGAGGTACCCACGCTGACATTTCTATCCGCTATTTTTAGTAACATGACGTCATTGCTACGCTAGTTGCCAGACTGAAACAACTAGTTTTTGTTTTTTACGGAATGAACTGTTAAGTCTAGTATTTTAATTATAATTAAATTGTAGCATGTGTGGAAAAAGTAAAATTATGGACATTATTGTTGTATTAGTAATTGTATTAGTATATTGATTTTTTCTTCACTGTGGGCCGACAGTTGCTGCATTCGTGACCGGTGGTTAACCTCGTCAAAGCTGCGTGGCCTATTCGTTTATATAATCAGTGATGCTCGTTCAGTGGCCTTTTTCGGAGCTAGGCCTAATTACGGGCGATTTTAGACTTAATTGATCGGCCGTTAGCCCTTTTCATTGCTGCGTATTTTTAAAAAAATGCTCGTTCAGCTGCCTTTTTTTTTGGCGCTAAATAATCTGTTTACGGGCATTTTACGCGTTTATTTATTTATTTATTTTAAGCTAGACGTAGATCTAGTTAAAATTTTTTTTATACAGCTGGCTGTCTAGCATGCCTGATATGTGAACTTTAAAAAAAATGACCGAACTTTAAAAAAAAAAATGACCAGAAGTAGGGAAGTAGGTCTGTTATTCAATTTGCTTGAAGAAGGGGGGGGGGAGAGAGAAGTGAAGACACCGACCATCTCGTGTACGCGTGTTCGTTCTATGACGTGTACTATAGGTCACGGTTACCCCGCGACCGTGGTGGGATTTTTCATCCACAGGATAGTAAACATAAGCAAGCAATCACGCGAGTGACGATGTTTGGAGATTTTATTTTAAAAAAAAAATCACATACGTCATGTTTTCAAGATGAAAAAAAAAATGTAATGTAAAAAAAAAAAAAGGGGGGGACACTAATACCATGTATGAACCTCAGCTGCCACACTGTTGACTCAATATAATGTGATTGAGTGTAAAATGTATTTGTATTTATAAACTATCTTAGCAATTACTATCATATTATTTTATGCATATTTATTATTTGAAATGAAAATATTTATTATGGTCATTTGATTTATGCAGGTGTTCATTACTTCATAAAATGGTATGAATAACATGTAGAGTAGAATTTAATAAATAATAAAATAACTAGATCTAGTTTTATTATCAACCAGTTGCTTTTTGTTATTTTCCGGTGAGTAAATAACCTAAGCTGACGCAATTACCATGGCGGGAATTAAAAGCTCGTGGACACAAGTCCACGACGTAATGTTAAGCCGGTCGAGGGGATAAAACGCGGTTTTGTCTTTCATTTTCCAATATCGGAAAAATTTCAAATTCTCTCTTTTCTCGTCAACCGATTAAGCTAGATATTTAAATGTGGTATCAAATGTTCTCTTAAGGGGTAAGGAAGTTAATGGTGTTTTTGAAATAACAGAATATTTTATTTTAAAAAATCCATAATTCAACCTAATATATTTCATTAGTTAATTAATTAATTAATTAATTAGCTAATTTATAAAATTATGTATGATGCTATAGCATTAGGTAAGCTACAGTAAGTATCATTTTTTAAACTATGTATTTGTACTATAAAGAAACAGCTTCGTTGTTTGAATACCACCCCGTCCCCTTCTTGAACTCAAAGTTAAACTTTTAACCCCGTTCGTAGAGACATGCGGTATGTTGTATGAAGAAAAAATCCACCGTGGTGCGTGTTATTGGCCTTGGGCCTTCGGTGACGTTGTTGGCGTTTGCTGTGAGGGGGAGAGGGGTGTGTTATATCCGTTTAAAAAAAATCGCAACATGGTATTGGCCTATGATGACGTCGGCGCAAGCGGGGAGGGGGGGGGGAGACACTTTTTTTTTTAAACCAAGAACTAGGCGTTTAAAGGCTGTAATGAAAATCAAGGACTGGTTTAGCCATGATGTCGAATTTAACGAGTGATGCTTGGTGGGTCTATCATACGATTGCTTGGCGATGGGAATCTCGTCAAGCTCAGTTTATATTTACAGTGAACTATTGGGATGCTGTCATACACAAAGTAACAGCTACCGAATGTAGCACTTAAAACATCGAGTGCATCCCGCTCATTATAAATTTGAAATACAAGTTATGGATTGCCCAAAAACTTGAAGGACTATCAGAATATATGCATTGTATTATAACATTAATCATTACGATATAACTAAAATGTGTATCCAAATATTTTTAGGCTAACAGGATCTGCATTTAAATAAACAAGACCTATTAGGCTACTTTTGCATGGTAGCACAACTACATTTTAGATTTCATAATGAGTAGCCTAGTCGTGCATTAAAGGGCTGTACTCAATAACAATGAAAAAAATGAAATGCCGGCTTCAAACTTCAAGCTATGATTTCCCCGTACTTCTACTAGAAATATAGCTCCGTTGTTCTAATGACCTCACCCTCCTCCTCTCACCTAGTTCAATTTAAAGTTACACTTTCAACCCCGTTAGGATGCGTGAGCTACTGGTGACCTAACTATTGAAAAAAAAAAACTATTCTGGCGTTAAATTGCCCTCCCCTACTCGCAGCACTTTGGGGCCATACACATCAGGAAGGTCTAGGTCGGTGTTGTATCTCGTGCAAATTTACTCACAACACGACTACACACTACACACTATGGTTGTATCCAGGACTAAAGCTGCGACACTCGCATAGAGTTGGATTTATTCGTTAGATCATATTGTGCTTCAAATTCTGTTTCAATATTGGATTAGATGGATATAATGTTGGAATTCAGTTAGTTTGTTATATTATATTTATCTAAATGTCGTGTACCATCAGAAACTAAATTGGTTGACAAGACACATGTGTAGGCTAAAGAATGACCTCTAGATCTAGATCGAGCCAAAGATGGCTGGTTAAGGTTGACAAACTGTGGTTTTCAAATTTCATGGTGATGCTTTTCTAAAGGATTTTATTTTGTGCTTTCTTTGGGATTATTTTGTGTGATGTGATTATTCAGAAGTAATTTGTAAGTAGAAGCTTTTCACATCCAACCATTTTAACAGTTTGCGATTGATCTGCGGCTGGGCTGATTAATTTACCATTAGCAAAACTACACACTACACGGCGCCCTTAGGCCGTTGTTTCAGCATGCCCTACTAGTCAATTATAGACAAGTTTAGAATCAATACATAGAGCCAACACACCGATTTTTATTTAATAATCTTCAAGAGCCATTCCTCTAGGGTCGTTATTTTCACGAAATTGTCGTTTTCCATTTTGTTGTCAAGAAACTGGTATTTAGTTCACGAGAACGTATGAAAACCACTCATGCGTGACCGAAATCGTCGATTGGGTGCCTTCACGTGGTTTGACACGTGTTGACCTAGGCCATTGTTTACATCCAAAAATCACCCAAAACGGCCTTTTTTCGATAAATTTGTTTGAAAAAATGGCTAAGTCCAGTTTGAAAAAGTGTCATTTTCGGGCCCATTTTAAAAAACGTAAAAAAATCCGAACTACACGTAGAAAAAAATGGCTTTTTCGGCCCTTTTTAGCTCCAAAAACGCGTCGCGTGACGTCACCGTGACGTCAGCCGCCAACCAAAACGCGGAGAAAGCGCGCGTTTGATTGGTTGGCGGCTGACACTATGAAATCCTCTAAGGACGATTCGAATGGTATACCAATCTAGGTAATCTATCGTTTTGGGTACGTAAAATCGCCCGCGGCTAGTATTTATGTACGAAAACGTTACCTCTTTGTCAAGGCTTTAATAGAAGTATATTGTCATACTTTTGTGTCAAATATTATAGATCTAGATAAATGAATAATAAACCTAAATCAATGGCTAAATAATAAAATATATCGATATAGGCCAGAAATTAACTTTAAACAGCAGTGTCCGAGAGCAAGATTTGCTATATCCAGGGTTCGTGCGGCCTCCTGAAATTCCAGGAGGTCCTGGAAAACTCCTGGAATCTTAAAAAACTTAAAAATCTCCTGGAATTCTCCTGGAATTTGAAAAAATATAAAAACCTCCTGGAATTCTCCTGAAATTTTAAAAATTTTCCTAAAATCTCATGAAATTGTATTAACCCGCGGCGCAAAACCCGACCGAAATTATTTGATTTTGTTCCGCCAATAATTGAATAGTAGTTTTTAAATGGGACGAAAATAAAAAATAAACGCATCGGCCGTCGTCTGACTAAATCGCACTGCCGTGATCTACACATCGTGTGGCACAGCCGAGTGTGTGGTCACGTGACGCTAGGCGATTGACCCGACTGGA